TTTATTAACTCTCGGCATGAAAAGGTTCTAATGATTTGTTTGTTTGTTTTGGAATTTCGCGCAAAGCTACACGAGGGCTATCTGCGCTAGCCGTCCCTAATTTAGCAGTGTAAGACTAGAGGGAAGGCAGCTAGTCATCACCACCCACCGCCAACTCTTGGGCTACTCTTTTATCAACGAATAGTGGGATTGACCGTCACATTATAACGCCCCCACGGCTGAAAGGGCTAGCATGTTTGGTGGTATGCGGATTCGAACCCGCGACCCTCAGATTGTGAGTCGAACGCCTTATCCACCTGGCCATGCCAGGCCGGTTCTAATGAAAAATGATAACCAGAAAAACAAACAAAACAACATACAGAAAGAGTATAGATTAATTATGAATTTGCTAAATTTCCACATGTTCTTTACATGGCCAGGTGGTTAAGGCGCTCGACTCGCAATCTGAAGGTCGCGGGTTCGAATCCCCGTCACACCAAACATGCTCGCCCTTTCAGCCGTGGGGGCGTTATAATGTGACTGTCTTAGTCCACAGAAACACATCTGCATTTCTAAGCTACAACTAGAAGCATCGAGAAAGATTAGTGATGTATTTAATTATAAACTTAACACAATGTTTTGAAATCTTGCTATCACGTACATTACGTTACATGAAGTGATTCTATTATCCTATTACCCAAGTTTACAATGTCCCGGATAATGGCATTCAAGAAACAATTTTTATTTAAACAATTCTGTGAAATCTTTCTCGTACATACAAAGCCTTGAACGCGTCTCCTGAGCAATTTGAAAATGAGGAAGTAGTCTGACGAAATACATTATTTGCCATTTAAAAGTATACGGGTGATTAGTCAGTGAGTCTCAGAATTACGTTGATCAAAATTGTACTCTTAAATCATTTCTGAGAATATGAACGGATCGACGACCTCAAAATAAGACGTCAAAATCATACATAAGATAAATTCATGTTATCTACGGAATAAAGGAACAGTGAATGGTTCAGCTGGAAACTAATTAAAACATTAGAAAAATTCCTGTCCGCACGCCGCCTACAACTTAATACTATTTAATTGCCTAATAACTGCGTTCACCTCAACTCTGTTCAGATGCTATTACGTTCCCAATTAAAGAATTTATTGTTCTTGGCATTGGTAAAATTAATTCTCAAGAGAGCAACATCTTTTGGAGAGAAAAGCCTCAAGGACTAGTTGACAAAACAATATGAAAAAAAAAGTAATTGAGAAAACGTCTCTTCGTATGTAGTAACGAATTTGTTCGTTTAAGAAGTTGCGCCTAAAGCTACCCAAAGGCTATATACGCATATCAGTATCTGATTTTGAGCTGCTAACTCTTGGGCTACTCTATTCTCACCGAATAGTGTGATTTGACTACCACCCTTATAACGCATCCGCGGTCCCAATATGCGAAGCGAGTTTATGCGGCAACGAACGCGAACCACGCATCCTCGGCTTTACAGTCCGAGCACGCAAACAACTAGGCCGCGCTCGCATCTTTTGGACTAAACATTCCTAAATAGTGACGTTTGTGTGTGCCACCATTATCTAAAAAAAACTACAAATGTTTCGTTAAAGTGTTTGAATTTTAGGATCCGTATAGAAACCGATTATTTACGGTATGTACATAATATATATAATCTTTAGAGTTTAGAATAAGAATTAATTACAGAGCTACCGTTCAGGAAATTTATTACAAAATGAAAAAAAAAAATGTTGTTTAGATCTTGTTGAATTTCGAAGTTCTTTAACAAGGTCACGATACCAGTTTGAAAATATCTTTCTTCTCATCCAAGAAAGCAACGCTCTTCCATGTGCACGTGATGTTACCTATTACTGAACATGCGCGCTTACGATGTTGGGTTGCGTTTGGTACGTTTTTCCGAGGCCCGGCATGGCCAGGTGGTTATGGCACTCGACTCGCAATCTGCGGGTCGCGGGTTCGAATTCCCGTCATACCAAACATGCTCGCCCTTTCAGTCGTGGGGGCGTTATAATGTGACGGTCAATCCCATTATTCGTTGGTAAAAGAGTAGCCCAAGAGCTGGCAGTGGGTGGTGATGACTATCTGCCTTCCCTCTAGTCTTGCACTGCTAAGTTAGGGACGGCTAGCGCAGATAGCCCTCGTGTAGCTTTGCGCGAAATTCAAAAAACAAGCAAACGTTTATCCGAAATGGAATATTTTAGATTAAAAATGGGAGTGTGTAAGCATTCGTCTAACGTAGAATAAAAATATTGTATGGAAAATGCTACATTGCACAAAAATGTCGATTAAATAGTTTTTTGTTAAATCAATCTCCAAAGAACATTTATTGGTGATATCCAGTAACAAAAGTTACTGCAAACCTGAGCGTTTATAAATATGTTGGTTCAAGTGTTTTATGTGTATTTACCTGCTTAGGAACAAGAAAAGTGATTCTGGTTGTTTAACTAAAATGTTATTTTGAAATTAGAATAAAAAACTGATTACAATTGGATTCGAACGTAAAATTACGAAAAACCAATTAATTCTGAAGGCCCAGGTTCCATCCCTTCCTTATGGCCAAGTTTCAAATATTATTTTAACGTATTTTTTTGTACATAGATATTTCATACAGGAGAAAATAAAAACAGGAAATTACGTTGCTTAGAACAAAGTACTGCGCAGATATATTTAAGTAAATATAGTGTATTGAAATTTTCGATCTGTGATTCGTAGATATTTGACGTGATAATTTAACAATCCAGGCAATAACGTTAAATATTTGACGTGATAATCTTCCCTAGCCACACTTTAATACATTACCGATTTAACAATCCAGGCAATAACGTTAAATATTTGACGTGATAATCTTCCCTAGCCACACTTTAATACATCACCGATTTAACGATC